AATTGAATAATTAATTTAATTAAATGTATAATAATAAAATTAAAATTAAAATTTTTTGCCTATCTTAAAAAATAAAAAACAATAACAATTAATTTAAGATATATTTAAAATGAAAAAACAACATCATTTTAGGATGGAGAGAATAAATTTTCTTTTGCCACCTAATAGGCTAGTTTTCCTTTTTCTTATATGTTCTATAATTTAGGAGATCATAAGAGGAAAAATATGAAGAAAATTAATTTAAAAAAATTATTTTCAACTTAGAAAATCTTTTAATTTACTTTGAACGTAGGTTTTTATGGGCTTAAAGTAATTTAAAGTTTTGGCTAACTTAAAGTGCTAATTAGGTTGTTTTAAAACCCAAAAATAATAGTTTTATTAGGTTCTCTTATTTTTTATTTTATCTCACTATATGTTATGTAACATAAACTTAAAAGTTTTTATTTTTAGTGGAAGGAAATTACTATTGAGTTATTTAAATCGTTGGTTTTATTAAGTTGTTTTAAAACCCAAAATCAATAGTTTTTTTATGTGTCTCTTTGGAAATTTTGAGGCCAACGTCTTTTTTCGCATACGCATTGCAGCACCTTAATGATATGCATAAGATTTCTTTTTCCATTAAAATTTTTTTTTAAAAAAAAAAAGGAATTGATTATAGTTTCAATATTTTTTGATTATTTTTGTAGGGTATTTGAGAATTTTGAAGTAAGTATATTTATAAATGTATAAGCTTTTTTTTTTTTTTTTTGACATTGACACTACAGTAGAGAAGCATTTATGCTGCCTTATGTCGTGATAGAATACATGTTCCCTGAGTTGTTCCTTGAAATTGTACTTGTGTAAACCAATTTTATTACTCTTTGGAGACAATAGCATAGACCACAGCATTATTCTACATGGACAAGTGATAATATGAAGGACCACCATGTTAGAATAGTACTAGTGGATACATGGGCATCTAGACTCAAATTCCACCCACAAACTAAAATGACGTGAGATAAATTACAAATTAATGTGTTTTGCTTATCACAAAGATGCTTTTTGTAAACTAAATTCTGAAAAAAGTTATAGGTTGAAACAGACATTTTCTCTTAAAGATGATATAACATGCTTGAAGTTGTATAGTATTTACATTTGGTAGTGTAGTTACTATCAAATGGGGATGGTGGAGATGATAATTAAGGCCTAATGCTATAGTACTGTCGGACACAAATTAGAATGCCAACTTGAACTACCCAATCACAAAACCAATTTGGGCACTTCGACAAAGTATGCTGTCTAGCCCTTTTTGGCACTCAAGCATACTTCTTGTCCATTGACACATACTTGGAATCTAACATCCTTCTCCACGCTCCTTTCACGCCAAAGCCTTGCAAAAAATGTTTATCCCATAACAACTCCTTATCTTACCTTCTTACCCCAAAATTGCACAAACAATACCCATCAAGTCATTAATCAAGTCAAAAAGAGTTTCTTCTTTTTTTTTTTTCTTTTGCTTTAACAAGTAGAACCTTATCTAACCTTGGCACACCCCCACTTATACTGCTCCAATGAGCTTTAATTTTATCAGTTAAATATTAATATTTACATGGTCATTGATTCTTAAGGGGAGGATGCTTTCCTAGAAATTACCTTATGATACTCTTAATTGGCTGAGGAAGCATCAATTTCTTGACTAACACATTATGTAACATACATTTCCAATACGAAGAAAGTGACAAACACATTTAATTCCTTAGAGTTTTCATTTGTTGTATAATTCCCTCTTTTTTTAAGAAACATATTCCTTTAGTTTCTTTTTGAAAAATGATTTATATGCAATCTTATCTTAAGAAGCCAGTAAATACAATCAATTTTTTCGGCTATCTAAACTTAAGATGCTTTTTTTGTGTCTACATCAACTTTGTTCTATTTTCCCCCCTTTCTCTATCAAATAAAGTATTAGAATTTATTTAGAAATTTTGGATTTTATTGTAGTCAATAAGAAATGAAAAATAAGAATAATTACTTTAAGTTGCTCTAGACATGAGTCTTTCTTTGAAGAATACATAATCATAGCACCTAAAGCTAAGTGCCTTATGACCATTGGAAACTAATAAAAAAAAATCTATAATTAAAAAATTTAGGTTAAATAGAAATAATTAAAGACAAGTGACGAAAGGATAACATATAATGGAGACAAATGAACAAAGGTGAAAGTAGCTTATGTCCTGTTTGGCCAGCAGACAAATTTCCCTCTCTTTTATTCTACGCTTTCTATCTTTTCCTTTCTTTGACAATTGCTTTTGGCATTCAGAATAAAACCCAACTCCTTTTTCTAATTATCTCCAAATTTTTGAATTAAGAATTAATATAACCATGCGTGGCCTTAATCCAACAGACAAACAACAGGCATATGGGCTCCTAAGATGGCAGTCATACACCCCCACAGTCCTTGTCCCTTAGCCTAATTACACTTAATTTAATTTCTAGACTCTAATTAATTATGCCAACCTAGATGACTAAATTAATTAATTAATCAATTAAGTAATGAGTTTATTTTATTTAATTAGAAGTATGCAATGATCCCCTTCCCCCTTAGCTCACGTGAGACTTTGATTAAACTTTTTTCATAGATGTTAAAAAAATATTAATAATAAATATCATGCTTGCCGCCAATAATGTTTCAGAATATGTTGTAATGGAATGATTAAGTCCTTTTTTATTAAGAGATTAAAAATATTGAACTAATAGCAATTAAATAAGTAATTAACTTTGAATATTATTGGTTGTATTTAGAATTTTAAAGAGTTTTGGGGACAAAAGATGGACAAAAGGTATGGGACTTGGAAGTTAGAAAAAGTGTAGGTGGGTTGGGTTTGATGAATTGTTTTTGAAAAAATCCAAAACGTCCTATAAAAGAGAAGACATGAGGCCAGCTTTAGGAAACATGCAATCAACTAAATTGCTCATCCTAAAGCTTATTACAACCTAGCAAGAAGTCTCCATTCCTTAATTTAAGATTATTTTATCAGCAATTTTCAGCTGCTAATTAATTAGTCTTCTACTTGTCGATTGATCTCAAGATAGGTCATGAGGAAAAAAAAAAAAAACACACAGAATTTATGTGATTCAGCTAGGGAAATATTAGAGACAATGTATAGTGGAAAAGAATTTTACAAGTAGAGGCAGGCAAGGCTTGATGGTGAAGAAAGGTGATCAAGGCAGATAGGAAAATGTAGGTGGTGGTGGCAAAGAAAAGGTTGTTCCCCCAATTTTGCTTCCATGGGACATCTTTCTCTTGTTCCCATGTCTTTCCTTTTTCAATGGGATTTACTTTGTGTGCAGCCTAAGCTTTTATAAAAATACACTTATGCATTGTCTCTGCATCTGTACATATTACTATATTCAGAAAAACACTAGGGAGAGGGCATTGAAAGTGAATTACAATTGTCCATTTCAGAGTTTATGAACCCAATAAAGCTCACTCTATGCCTATATGCCTACACATCCTTTCAACAACACTTTATTCTTCTTCCCCAAGATGCTGCTGATACAATTTTGAAGAGCTTGGAATTTTCCCTTCTTTTTTATTTTCTGTCAAGTTCAAATTTGGTAAAAGCATGTAGTGTGGAAGGAGTTCCCTGATGAGTGGGGCAGGACTCTGGAGCAGGAACCCATTTCCAGGCTTGGCAGGTGCAACCTTTTTTTATCATTGGATAACAATGCCAGTGTGGGGAGCTTTTAGGAATTTTTTGGGTACAGAAAGCAATGACTGCCTTCTCACATGGGTATTGGTAGACAGCGTTGTGAAAATCACAAGAACCTACCCTCACTAGAAAGCTGTTAAAGGGTTTATGGTGGGATTTCTTCTACTTTTAATAATACCTGTCCTTATTTAACAGGTTAGGCATAATTTAACCAAGATGATCTTCATAATCATCCCAACCTGGAAATTGCTTGACTATTGGATTCAGATTTCTTTTCTTTTCTTTTCTTTTATGGAGAAAAGATTAGGTTTTGATAATCCTAATCTCCAATACATACTAAACACATAATGCGAGCAAGTTTCAATTTAGTAGGAAAATGATGTTATTAAGATATTGAGAATGACCTCGGTTTAGATTTATTCGTGTCCAACTGTCCATCTTTTTTTTGATCTAATCAAAGGAAAGCCATCAATGTTTATTTTTAAACATATTTATAAAGGGTAGGATCAAACCTAAGCCCAACAAAAAAAGAAGAGTATACCTTTTTTTTCAATATGACTAATACCACAAGGCCCGAACGGCCGGTGCAAGCCATCAATGTTTAAATTATGAAATTTAAGAGAAATTATATTTTTTGGCCCTCTCAGTTGATATCAAACGAGGGGTATGAATAACTGAATAACATCTACAAAAGCCTACTGAACAGGAGGCCTGGACTGCCCTACGGGGCAGGAGGTTCTAAGGCCCAGAGTAGGATTTAGGCATAAAGAGTCCCATTCTTTCTGGAGGGACTAACAGTCATTTTACTATTTCAGTTTTCACAAACTATTAATTAATTAATAAAAGTTTGATGCAAATATAATTATGGAACTGAAAAGAAAGAGCAAAATGCATCTGGGGTTAATGGAATGCTTCATTTCAAAGAAGATGGAATTTGATCAATTCTGTGCTTGCAAACAGCAGTAAAAGCTAGGAGGGAGAGGAGATAGAAGCAGATATATGATATATTGGTTTAGATTCTAAATACCAAGCAATCAATAGATAAAACAATATTAATTACAAATGCAATTACATATGTCACTGAATCAAATCAAAAAATCAAACACACCCTTATGAATCAATTGAACATGCCACACATCACTCATCAACATATACTTGAAGCAAACTGAAAACAAGTGATACTTGCAGCTGCACCTAATGTGAAGCCAAGAGCAAAAACTTCTTCCATCTTACTATAACAGAACAAACTCCATGGTAATTACCTTCTATGTACACCCACTTATCCTCCTAGAGGTAACTCCATGTTGAAACCAGTAGAACTACACAATATCTGATACCAAACCAGAAGATCAATAATTCTGTGAAATTTTGTATACCAGTATTTATTTGACTTTTTGGTCGCCTTTTCCTGAGTTCGGTGATTTTCCAATAATAGCTTTCTTCACCTTCACAATGGACTGTTTTACCTTTGACATTATGTTACCTGATGATTTTGTTGAGGGCTTTACTGAAAACAGCTGAGCAGGAAGCTCTTTATTTGTTATTGCATCATCAGTATTTTCGGAGGGCTCCTCAATGGCAACTTCTTTTGTAGTCTCCAACTTATCTGTATCAACTTTGGCTGACTCCTCTTCCTTGACATTCAACTCAGAATCCTTGGTTTCTCCAACTGGTTCATTTACCTTTTCCTCTACGTTTTTGCCATCACTAACCTCAACAGACGCGGGGACTGTCTCCTCCTCTTTGACCACTTCCAGGTCTCTAGAGCCATTTTCTCCTTCAACAGATTCTTTGGCAACTTCTGCAACATCATTGGAGAGACTCACATCCTGTGGTGTAATTGTTTCTTCACTTTTCTCATTCTTTACTTCACTGTCTTCTTCAATTTTTCCATTCTTTGCTTCTTCAACTTTAACATCTACTTGAGCGTCATCACCAGTAGGCACAATGTTTTCTCCTGCAGGATGTTCTTGACCTGCATTCACTGTCTCTTCCTCTTTTGTTGCTTCAACCTGCTCCTTGAGTTGTGGCTGTTCCTCTGGTTTAGGTTCTGCTGCCTTAAGCACTCCTACATTTTCTACTAGCTTTGACTCTCCTTGAGAAACTTCTTCAACTGATCCAACTACTGCCTTCAGTTCTGGCTCAGTTACAGTGGGTTCCTTTGCTGGTTCCCCTTCTATTTTACTTTCAACTGCTTCGACTTCCACTTTTTCCTCTGGCACGTTTTCAATGGATTCAACTGCTGGTTTTGCTTCTGGCTCAGCTAAAATGGATTCCTTTGTTGGCGCCTCCTCCAATTTACTTTCCACTGCTTCAACTTCAAGTTTCTCTTCTAATGCCTTTTCAACTGCTGGTTTTTCTTCTGCTTCACTAATGATGGATTCTTTTGCTGGTCCCTCCTCTATTTTCCTTTCAACCACTTTAACTTCCTGCTTCTCTTCTGGTACATTTTCAGCTGATTCAACTGCTGGTTTTTCTTCTGGTTCACCTGTAACGGACTCTTTTGCTGGTTCTTCCTCTGCCTTACTTGCAATAGCTTCGACTTCAGGTTTCTCCTCTAGTAACTTTTCAACTGATTCAATTGCTGGTTTTTCTTCCGGTTCACTTGTGATGGACTCTTTTGCTGGTTCATCTTCTACGCTACTGGCAACAGCTTCAACTTCAGGTTTCTCCTCTGGTACCTTTTCAACTAATTCAACTGCAGGTTTGTCCTCTGGTTCACTTGTGATGGACTCTTTTGCTGGTTCCTCCTCTACCTTACTTGCAACAACTTCAACCTCAGGTTTCTCCTCTGTTACCTTCTCAGCTGATTCAGCTGCTGGTTTTTCTTCAGGTTCACTTATGGTTGATTCCTTTGCTGGTTCCTCCTCTATTTTACTTTCAACTGATTCAACTTTTGGTTTCTCATCTACTACATGTTCAACAGCTTCAACTGCTTCTGGTTTCTTCTCTGCTACATCTTCAACTGTTTCAGTTGACAATGATTTTTCCTTCAGCAAATCCCCAACTAGTTCAATTTCTCTTGGTTTCTCCTCTAATACAGTTTCAACTGTCTCAGCTACGGCCGGCTTCTCTGCTACACTTTCAATTGTTTCAATTGATGGTTCTTCCTTTGGAACATTTTCAACTACTGCTTCAGTTACCACAGGTTTATCCTCTTGTACAATTTCAACTGCTTCAGAGGCTGCTGGTTTCTCCTCCGGTACAATTTCAACAGCTTCAGTTGCTGCTGGTTTTTCCTCTATTACATTTTCAACTGCTTCAATTGCTTCAGGTTTCTCCTCTAATAAAGCTTCAACCTTTTCAATGATAGCTGGTTTCTCCTCTGGTGCACTTACATCAGTTGGTTCAGTTGATACTGCCCTCTCTATTAAACTTTCAACTGCTTCTGCAGCTGGTTTCTTCTCCTCTTCTACAGTTTCAACAGCTTGAGTTGATGGTGGTTCCTCCTTAGTCCCATCTTCAACTGCTTCAGTTGCCTTTGTTCCCCCTTCCCCTACTTTCTCAACTTCTTCAGCTACTGTTTTCCCCTCTACTGTTCCTTCTGTGGATTCTGAAGCTGCTTCAACCTGAACAACTGGCCCAGAAGGATCAACTTCCCCAACTTCATCTGCTATTTTTTCTACTTCACTGACTGGAATTTCTGAAACTAAAGAACCATCTACTTTGGAACTTACTGTTTCGTCTTTCCCCACATCATCCGCGGCAGGAGGAATCTCTTCCTTCTTGCTTGTTTCTGTTTCTTCATTAACCTTCTTCTCAATAAGCTGCAATGATTTAAACCCAGATTAGCTATACATGCTGAAAGAAGCTGTTATCAGAAAGTAGGTTCAATAATTGCAACAAAAAGGGTGGAAGCGGGACTCCTGGTATGGGGTTCAGAGCAATTTTCTTAACATGCACACTAACTGTTTGTTTTTATGCCTATATGGTTGTTGGAGCAATGGCATCAAAGCTGTAATGTTTGCTGCAACTAGACAGCAAAATGGTGCAGGAAGAAGCTGCGTTTATGGCACAAAATGTGCAGCAATAAACTGCTGCACCATGGAAGAAAATGAAATGAAATTGAGATGCAAATGCAAATGAAATGCAAATGGAGGATGCAAATGGAGGCTGCAAATTAGTCAACAAAGGTGCAGCAATTTCAATGTACCTTTTATGTTAGTTTATGTATCACTACAATCTTTGATAGTCTTTTGTAGGAAACATTTAGGCATAAATCATGGAAACTAGGTAGAGAAGCTCTGTTTTTATGTTAAATTTTCTATTACAAATGGGCAAGAGATGTTAATGGAAATTGGAGTGAGATTTGGAGAACTTTTCTTCTCCTCCCGGTAGGGTGAATGTCTGCACCCTTTCATGGCTATGTCAGATTTATGTTCTGAGTTCTACTCTTCTCCTACTCTCCTCCAAGTCCTCTCTCAACCCCTTCTTCTTACCTCAAAATTCTAACAGTGGTGAAGCTTGAAGAACGTGTCAGTGGCAGAGGCAGAGGCAGGTAGTATTTGAGGTACTTGTACGCTATTCTTACTTTCTCATATAGTTGTTAGTGTCGGGTGTGTGTTGATATTTACGTAATCTTGATGGGATTGTCATTGTGTCAGATTTCATCTTGCTCTGTCAGAATCTGGTAGCTTCTAAGAATATGGGGTTTGGTGGAGTGGTTTTGAGTTCTGTACGAGAATATCTAAAGGGTGGAGGGTGGTTGTTTTGTCTACCCTCTGGTACTTTTAATAATAACTTACTTGTGCCCATCAAAAAACACAACTAAATTGTATACGCTCAAAAACAGCCTGAAAAATCAAGGACTGATACTGGAGCAAGCAAACAAGGTAACACATGTTCACGATCTCTAAAAATGTGCTCATCAGCAGTAAAGCAGCAAACCGACAAAAACCTGGCGACTCTAGATGAACAAAATCCAAAGACTGAAACTTATGAAGTTACTGAACATAAACACCATGGTTCCCCTAACAAGCTACCAACAGATGATAATCAATTAAGTGATTAGGCCAAAGAACATGGACTAAACCGATAATCACCATAGTCAAAGTTCAAACAGCTTTAAAGCAAAATCATAAGAGCAAAATGGCTTAAACATGAAACAAGATTAGCATCAATGATTACCTCATGATCAACAGTAAGTTGATGATCAGATGGAAGAGTTTCAGGCTGAGTCTCAGTAGTAGCCATGACTGAAGCAAGGTATAAGATCAGAGTAAAGTTGGGTTTTTAGTCTACTGAAAAGAAAGGATTGAAGGAGAAAAAAGCGGCTAAACAGAAGGGGAAAAAACAAGAGAAGCTAAAGAAGAAAAAAGAGAGTGACCCATCCATGAGCCATGATATAGAAAAAAAGTGGAAAAACACACAGGTGCCCACATGAGCTGGTTGATCTGTTTGCCAATTGAATTTGAGCATTTCATAATTCCAATTTGATGACAACTCACTCCCCTACTTTCCTCATTGTTAGTCATCATAATTATCTGCCTAATCTAGTTTTTGTTTGTTTATATAAAATTTTTTTTGAATTTATTTTTTTCTTAAAAGGAAAAAGATAATGAAGATTTGAAATGTATCATTATCAAATTAATCATACCTTACCCTCTTTATACCTTACCCTCTTTACAGAATATGCTTCTTCTGGATTCTGGCCAAGTTATGTGCACTTAGTGACAAAGTCCAACCAAGCATGATGGTTAGATGTGCAAATTTTATCCCCCACTAATTGGAGATTACATAATTAAGTATTATTGAAATAGAGATATTATTGTTTCCTTTCTCTGTAAAGCCATTGTTTAGGGCTTTTATGGAACAAAAAAAAAATGAAATCTTTAATGGCTTCACCATCTCCTGGGAACAGGGTCAATGCAAAGTAGGGAAATTTACAGAGACAAAAAAGGAAAAAGAAAGGTGAAAAACTTGCATATAAATGTAGCTTCCAGAAAAGATAATGATTCTATGTTTTTCAATGACTGTTCACTTGTTATTTACTACAACCAAATGCATTCTTAAATAGCCGAATTAGTAAGTATTAACTTTGAAACTTTGATTTGGGCCCTAGAATATGGTTCTCACCCATATGAAAGAAAAATCAATGCATTCTTGAACTTCATCAACTAAACTTTTTTTTTTTTTTTCCTTGTGATGAATTTACATATATCTTGTGGAAAAAAGATGGACTCGAGTTTAAAATTTTCGGAGATTTTGTTTGTTTTTTAATCATTAATAATCACTGGATTAGGACTTGATAAGTAAACCTTCAATTTTAGGATTATATATATACATAATAATGGAAAGAATTTTGGGAATAAAGTGTGATTTGTGACATGTGGTCCATGCATAAATCAGGGCAGAGATTGAGTTGGGTTAGGTTTTGAGTGAGAAAAGAGGGAAAGGGAGGGCACGTTTTGGGTGACCCAGAAGCATGTGGAGTGACAGCCTGCAACAATTGGAGAAATCAAAGAGAACTTTTTAAGAATTGGGCCTAATGTTTCAACTTGGGTGTTTTCTTCTTTTTTTTTTTTTTTTTTAATGATTTGCTTTAATTTCTATTTTGCAAGGACATGTAGCAGTCGTATTCAATTAGTTGTAGTATGAGAATTAAAGCATTTTTCTTTTTATATGATGGAGGGAATGAAGACCTTCAATATTGAAAATTCCATTGATTCAATAATATAATAGAGAAGGTGGAAGCAATGAGCTTTGAGAGGAATGGCATTAGTTAGACAGTCTATTCATATCAACTTCAGCCAGAGCTGTTCAAAAAATATATACCAAGTTTTGTAGCATTAAAAATGTATTTTTTTAATTTAAATTGTATTAAATTACAAAATGATATTTTGACGATGGAGTTTCAATTACAATGATAAAATTCTTATTTAATAATTATAATTTTACAATATAATAAAAAAAATCTTATTCTACTAGCATAAACTCTCTTTCCCCTTTTTATAACATGACATTGCATTGGAGAATGGAATTGGGTTTTAAAGCCCATCAAAGGTCCAAAAGGTGGCAAACAACTGTCCAGTTCTCAGTTCAGTCAGTTGTCAACAGTCACCGGGCCCCATGGATCATGCCACCCGTTTTACTGTTTTTATTTATTTATTTATTTTTAAGGGATTTTTTATGTAATATAATTGGAGTTATATATTAAAAACATTTTAATAAATTTATAAAATAAATTAAATTTTTATATAGAATCTATCTTATAAAATATTTTTTTAATTTTTTAAACTCATCTCTAGTGATCTATTCTTTTTTTATCAAATTAAAATTAATTATATATATTAAATAAATAAAAGAGATCCGTGGGACTCAGGTGATCCATTCATTTGTACATTTTTTAAATTTGCAATAACTAATAATTTACTTTTTGGTACGTCTATGAAATCATCAATGATGTATTACCCTTTTTTTTTTATGCCATGACTATGACATACAAAATTTATTTTATCCTTTATTCCACCTCCATTTTCGTTATAATATTTATACAAAATTTTAATTATATATTTTTTTACTTTACATAATTAAAATTTATTTTTTTATAATATTTATTAAAAATAAATTTTTTTTCATCTAAAAAATTATATTAAACCTTAATCATTAAAAATAAAAAAATAAATAATTAAAAAATTATATAACTATAATATATAAAGTTTATATATAAGTAAATCTTTTCTCTTTATATATATATCACTATCATATCTCTTGGTTTTGAGAATTTTACAAACTAATCTTTTTCTAGATAATGAAAGGGAAAAATCAAAGAAATTAGACAAATAGTTGTTTTTCATTTTAGATGTGGCATGTTCCTAACTTTGTAACGTAGCAAATTCTACTTGTGATAAAGAGGCGGTTCTCCATGCATCAACGTGTTTCCTCTACAACCAAAAGCTCTAACCGTACCAATCCATCTCTCAAATCAACAAGTACTTCATAGCTACTAAAAGATACAAAACAAATGAAAACTTCTTTTAAAAGATGGAAAAATCAAGCAATCAACGTATGACTCTTCTTCCAAGAACCACCGCAGACGGTGCCGAAGTCAGCCACGGCAGCCCCCCTAATCCCATGCAACCTCAAGGCTTTCAATTAGAGCTCTCCTCCTCTTCTCCTTCATGGGGTAAGCATGTTGACAACAACATCACCTATACCCCCATTTCCACTTCTCTCAAGAAGAGCAAAGTAGGTTGGTAATTAAAATCACATTTTCCATGAGAAATTCATTCCCTTTATTCTTCTTCCAATTAGTTTAACTTGTTTTTAAGTATGTACATATGTTGGTATATATGGAATTAAATGTCAGAAGAAAGCGATGAAGAATTGTTCACGGTTCCGGACGTGGAAGCCCAACCTCCAAATACCAATAATTCAACAATCACTACCACCAACATTTCCGATGCCCGAAACCAGCCTGAATTTCCCGGCAAGCGTCGCCGGGGACGCAACCCCGTAGATAAGGAGTATAAAAGGCTAAAGAGGTAATAATA